ACATCGTTTATACTCGTAAAGGTGCATGAGTTGAAAATATTGCACATCTCGTTGCCATTTTATGCTCCCATATTCTGATGCTTACCCTGCTCTGCCTTTTTCCAGCTTTTGTGCTTCCTTTCTTCCGATGAAACCAACTTTGAATGAATGCATAACTGAACGAATGAGTGCACGGCAACTGCAAACTGCATCGACTGCCAAACAAAGATCAGGATTCGTTCTTAAATTATAATTACGTGTATGGGGGGTTTCAGGACAAAGCAGGATACGTGTTCGGGTATTGTGTGATTTGCTTAATCAACAATTTCAGCTTGAAATGGAAAATCCTTTGAGTATTTTGCATCTGGGAGGTACTGTTTTCCAGGGAAATGGAATGAACATACACTTAGGTATGGTCTTAAGAGACTTCAAAGGAGGGAGCGCTGGAAAAGTCATCTGTTTTGTCCTTTTGTAGATGTCTTTATGATGGTTTTTTCACCTCAGACTTCAGTAGTAAAAAGCGCATAATTTGGCATTCAAAAGTGCAATCGAATCAATTTGGTGACCCCGACGCATCTTAATTTGGAAGTGTTCTATATTTTCTGTACGACTTGTTAGTTGGTAGAACCTTGCAATAGTTCGTAATCGTAATAATATCACTATCCGCAGGTCCCAGAAATCAAAAACTCAAGACTATAATATTTTTGGTGACCACGACCTATTGCAATTATATTTGTTTCTGGTATACTATGAGTACTTTTTTTATTAACGGTTCTAGAAATGTGAGAGAATGTGTCCTTTTAGGATCTCTTCAATACCTTCTTTATAATATCCAAACTCTAAAAGCCTTTATCGACTCTACTACCTATCATTTAAAATCCCTGTCGAACTGCCATTTCCTTCAACTGTTGTTACCTTTACCCAAAATGAATACAATGGATATTGGTTTATTTCGATTTCATTTCGAAATCTTCAATTACCCAGCAGTAAGAATACCATTTAGCTTGTTCGAATTTGGGCCACGTCCCCAGTGCAATTTGTATGCGAAACTAATCTCAGCGAGGGCTGAGCCAATCTATTATCATTGAATTGGGGGGTTCGGATTGGACAGCTCTTCCTTTTGGGAATCTATTGCCGTAAATCGCTGCTGGGGACCTGCGACAGTGAGCAATGAAATGCACTTTGGTTTCATCTACTGCTGATGCTGCAGCATGCCTCATGCCTCGTGCCTCGTGCCTTGTGCTTCTTTCAAACGCGCCGGGGAAACTAATCACGGTATCCATTCACTCAGCTATCCACACAGCCCCCAGTCGAAAATCCAGCGCCATTCATGTCACTCGCTTCTGCACAGACGGCACCGGCGATCCAGTCACCAATTCGAATTCGCATATCTAAGGTGGGTGTGAATGGTGGCCCGGATTGAGATTGGGTGGGTCGTGGCTCTGCACTTGAATGTCTTGTGGTGCGCATTGTTGCTCTTTCAATTGCTACGTTTCCATTTCGTATGCCCTAGAAAGGGGGGTGTTATGTTTTTGGACACACTTTTCGTATCGAGCGGATTGCAGGCAAAAACGGACACAACCGAGATGCGCTGTTGCACGTCTAATCGAAATAAGGGGCTGTCAGAAGAACAATCGTTGGAAAACCCTAATTTTTCTATGAAGATGTTCCTGTTTTCCCACATCTCTCTTTCCTTAATTTTTCCTGCTTTAAAGTTGAATGAAAATGCATTCTAGGGTACCTACTGCTTCGCCACTCGATTGTAGGCTTCGTTCCTTGTGTTTCCCACTTTTTCCTCCTGCAAAAGAGAAAACCTTGCCACTGGCAGGGGACAATGGGAAGCCAGTCATGGCACGGGGCAGGCACCTCGAGAGAAGCTCACTTTCACGGCAATTTTAAGGCAAGGAGCTGCATAACCTCACACGTACATCTGGCCATGTATTAGCGCGTTTAATTAATTGCATTTTGTACAACATTTCCCAGCACTGATTTTCCGTTTTTTTCCCATTCGATTTGCCCCCTGCCCAAATTCAATTGAATTTTCCACCTTGCAGAGCAATTTCTTTGGCTTTTACATCGAATGTGGGGTGGAGGGGGCCGCAAAGGAGCCTCTCTATCGCCTGGGCCCGGCAACGTTGCGTAAAATTAGAAAGTATTGTGTGCTGAAAGTTCAATGGGCAAATTTATGAGTGCGAAAATCGCATTTTCAGATTGCACAAAATCGAAGCAAAGCCATGATAGAGTGGGGCATACGAGTACGCGCAGCATGTGTGCTGTCTGTGGGGGCTTTTCCCCATTTGGGGCTTTGAACTAATTAATTAATGAACTGCTGGCCCAAAGATCGATAGAAGGTGCCAGAAAAGTAAAGTCTAGTGGCACTGCCTTGGGGTTTTTTCGGTTGCTTGTCTTTGACCTTAATCGGAAAATATTGTCAAGGATACAGAAAGTTTGTTTGCTTCGAAGGTGGGCAATAAAATGTATGAGTGGGGTAACTAAAAGGTGGCCTAGGGGTGGTAAGGAAGTGTGATTGGAAAACCCTAATGAAAGTTGAGTTTGTACTAAAAGAAAGGGGAATTATACAAATATATCTACCAAATCTTATGGAGAATCAAAGGTATATTCAAGTCTCAATGGAAAAAAGTAGTAAAACCCATAGCCCTACCATTTATTGTATTAAAGAACTACCATATCTACCAAACCTTAAGGAAAATCCAACTTATATTCAAGTATCATTGAACAACAGTAGTAAAGAACATAGCCCTACCATTTGCTGTATTAAAGATCTTAACTTTAGGCCAAAACTGACCCACAAAACCTTTAAATTAATGAAATATTTGTACACTTCGTCCCATAGCTGTATAAAAAAGGACTACAGCTTAACCCAGATCTCTTAATTGAGGTGCTCTTATTTTTTGTGATTTAAATCCAATTGAAGTTCTTTTTTCATCCAACAATTGAATCACATCTGCTGCACAAATAAATAAATAAAAAATATAAAAACCAAATCTTTAATAGCATTCGATTACACGGCTAATCCCAGGACCCGTAATAAAGCATTTAAAAATATCTCACCCATGGCCGGGGCCATGTGGCCCCATGTGGGCGACGGTGCTCTTAAAAGTTCATCAAACTCTGTGGCACAGCCATTATAAAATCAATAATATCATGAATATTTAAAGCTGTTGTTGGAAAACACTCACATACACACACACACACACACATGGCAAATGAAAGGCAAAACTAATTCCCAAAGGGCCATTGATTAGCTCTCTCTCACGCGGCACTCCAGAGCGAGGATAATTTGTACTATATATAGAATATATGGTATGCCATTTCAATTGGGGGGGAAATTGATATAAAAAATGCATGGAAATCGTTGAATGTTTGGCTCTACAATCAGGGAATACACGGGTGTTCCAAGTCCATAAATCAGGAGGATCCTTTTAGAAAATTTTATCAACTCTTCACATTTGATAAACAAAAGCAAATGGAACGTAAGTTTTGATTAAAGAAGCCATAAATTCCATCAATCAGTGAATGAATCAACCTAATGCTTGATTGAATGTACGGCTGGCTCCACCACCCCCCCCCCCCCCCCCCCCCCCCCCCCCCCCCCCCCGATGGACGGGGGTAGGCGTGCAATCAGCTGTGGAGGAGGCGGAGGAACTCCTTTTGAAGAGGTGCAAATTTATGCACACACACGCACACACCGCTCAAAAGCCGCTGATGAAGCAGACACACGAGTCCTACGAGTGCTATGTATAAAAAAAAGAATGCCCAGGAAAATTACGATAAAATATCAAGTAAGTGCGGAAAAAACAGAGCGAAAATTGCACACAGGAAAAAAAACAAACGAGTAAAAAGCGAGAGACGTGGCACAAACTGCATTTTGCTGCAATTTGAATGCATTTCCATATTAATACTCTAACCGGAAAGGGTGTCAAAACTTTGGCAGGAAGTTTGTTGGTTTCTGATTTGGCTAAAGATCATGATGATCCCTCAAATGTACAGCATCCTTAAGGCATTTCGAAGCTATAAATCCCTCTTCCAAACCCTCGAAAACTAGGCATCACAGGCCCCTCTTTTATGGCCCTTCTGGCAGTGTGTTCCCTGCTTCGTTCTGTCCAAGAACTTAGAGTCCTGCCTTTATTCTTTTTTTTTATTGTTGATTTGCTGCATTTGCGTGAATGTGAAATGCGAAATTTCAATGGAGAATAGGCGCAGGAAGGACCTTCCCGCATTGCATTGTTTTCGCGCTGCAGTCTCGCTCTCGCTCTCGCTCTCCCAACGGCTGCTGCCATGATTGCATAAAGGCCAGGGATCCAAGGATCCAAGGAGCCAAAGGACAAAGGCATGCCCAGTGCTTTGTTATTGGATTGCTCGGTGGGTGGGGGGCGGTGGGACGGGGGGGGGGAGTGTTGTGTATGTAGAGCAAGGAGAGCAAGGTTAAGCTGTTGGGGATTGCAGCTTACACCGAGACGATTGCGAATGTGCCTCGTGGAGCCTGTACAATTGTAAATGTCTTCACTGCAATGTGGATCTTGAATGCCATAACCGAAGGCAGATTCTCGGGGCTTAACTCGCGTATTAGCGTGAATTTCTGTACGATTAGTCAGCTGTAGTATTCGCAGGTAAACAGCTGTTGGGAGGAGGGTATAGTATAGGTTACGCATGGCATCTTTAAGGGCAGGAAGCTTTTCTCTGGGAAGTTGTTGAATGGAGCGACAAAAGAGTCCCTAGACGAATCGTACATCTGTTTATCTTCCCAGAAAACCTTTAAGAAGGCACATCTACGAGTCTTTCTTCTGTTTATCCATCTAAATAGTTCCCGAAAGTACAGTCTACATGTACAATCCTTTAAAAATCTCTACTTTTCGTACACTTTCATTTTTTTTTTTTTTTAGGGACACTCTTTTTCCTTTTTGAATAAATATCAGAACACGCCAGACCTTCCTTAACCCCCCTCTTCCTTCAACTGACTTTTTCACACTTTAATTCCTATAATTTCCCCTCCATTTCAGCTGCTTAATCAGCCTGATTAACTAGGCCAAAAGCACACCAAAGCCGCCAAAGAGATAAACCCAAAAACCAAATCAAAGGTTTCACCTTAATCCTTAAAGAGGAAATCATAGGAAAGGAACACAAAGAATTGGTAAGTGGAACAGTGCAGAATCATGATCCACATTTCTCTGTATATCCTGCAGCCCCCCCCACTGCAGCCACTTCAAAAGGCACAAAACGTTGAACCCTCGAACGCCACAAAACCCCCCAAAAAAAAGAGAAAGGGAAAGGCCTCCCAAAAATATGCGCAATGCAATGCAGTGAAGGAGGCCAGAAAGGGGGTGGCTCATAAAATTAATTAGAATACTGCTGTCTCCCTCCCTCTCTCTCTCTCTCTCCAGCATTACCTCGCGGTCGCTTTCATTTGCATTTGGAACATTTTTTTGTTAATGCCCCGAAACGTGGGATTGGACCGGAAGCAGTGCTGGAGTGCGAGAGAGAGAGAGGATTTTGCCAAGGTGAAAGCTTTCCAAAACTCAATGAGCGGTTAAATAATGCCCCGAGGCGTCTGTCCATCCTCTCGCAGCCCCCCCCCCCCCCCTGCCATTGCCCACTTTTCCTCTTTGGAACTCTTTGCATCCGTTACTTTCGCTTTGTTTTCTTTTTGGAAAAAACCCCCGCCCTCTCACCCACAACTCCTTGCCCGCCATTGATGCAGTGCATTTCATTTCAAAATTTGTGCTGAATTTGTGTTCTTTTCAACTAAACTCTTTGTACCCTCGACGAGGGTATTGCCATTTTTTGTAGGCGTTTAAAATGTGCCGAAAGAAACATACATTTTTTATGAGCATTATTATGCGATTTTTGCATTGTGGCCAGACGTACATATATTTATCTAACCACTAAAATAACCCTATCATGCTTTACATAGTACAGGGAACCAATGACAGGGATCGTCAGAATAAAAAAAATTATTTTTTTATAAACTAATTTAATAGAAAAATTAGGTCAATTATATTTTACTTTTTTTTATGCGGTCCTTAAAGGACTTGTGATGTACCAAGCGAAAGGTACTTCTATTATAAAGATATTTTAATTTAATTTTAAAATTAAATAATCGAAAATTTTTTAAATTATACAAAAAATATACAAAATAAAATGTATAAAAAATGTATTTTAAACCAACTATGGATTTCAGAATACCACACACCTTAAAAAATATTTTACCTGCATTTTTTTCAGACACCCACTCTTTTCCCTCTTTTTTTTTTAATCTTAATTATACAAAAGAAATATACAAAATAATAAAAAGTTCTTAAATAATTTATTAAAAAAAAGGGGGATGCCAGGATACCCCCTCAAAAATATTATAGCTGCATTTTGTTCCAGACATTTATTTTTTTTAGATTTTTTTTGTTTAATTTTCAAAGTAGTTCCATCAAACTTTACTCCCTTTTAGAGGTATAAAATTCTATGTAACTGCATGAAATATCTTTGACATGGGACTAAAATATGGTAGGGCCTATTAGCAAGATAACTAGCTATATAGCTGGTCTAGGATTGATCGAAAAACAAGGCTTTGGGACCAACATTTACAATGGTACTGATTTATATGATTTCTTATAGTTTAAACAAAGTTTTCTGTTCATATACTTTACTAGATGAGTCTTTTAGAGAAGCACTGATTGATTTTTTCGCAAATCTCTGATCAACTTGTTCCTTAAATTCCACAAAAATCTCATCGATCCATGGATCTCTAAGAGTATCTAAGGTTTCAGCCGCCACCAAAATCTGTACTTCCTTTCTGGTTTTATGGTATTTTATTTTTCCGTGAACTTTTTGCATAGTTTATGGCTTCATTTCCGACGATTCCGCGTGCCTTTGGCAAAAAATCTATTTATTATATACATATATATATGTATATGTATGTGTTTTGTACGAGTATATATTCTTATTTTTTTGTGCGGCCATTCTGGCCGAAAGCATATTTCTTTTTCCTCTCTTTTTGTGGCTCAGAATTTGTTATGCAATTTTTTTTGGGTTTATTTACATTTGAGTTTGTCTTTTTTCCCGTGCTTTTTTGCGGAGAGCAATTTGCAAGGGAATCGCTTAGTTTCGTCTGTGAGAATCGGTGGAGCGGGGAGCGGGGGGCACGGGGCACGGGGCAGGCAGGGGCTCGACTCCGCAGAGAGATTGCAGTGCATAATTTTATTATTTGTTTTTGTGTTGATTTCATTTGCAGTGCTTATGCTTTTGTGGGCCTTTGTTTTCGGCTCTCTATTCCCCCAGTATTTATGCTAAATTAATGCAATTGTTTCTGATTCTCTGGAATGTGTTTTTTGGCCCAAAAGAGAAAACTTTGCTAAACGTTCGAATGAGCGATGTGATATTGCCACTATTAGTGCTCACAATGGTGATAATTGATGGGGGGAAACAATCCGTTAAACGGGTCGTATGAGTAATCTGAAACATCTCTAGTGTTTATTTCTCTGTTTTGACCGCAATAATCCCACAAAATGATGGCCTTTTGGGTGCAATCTTAGTTTTCATTTGATGAAATAAATCTTTTAAATAAATAATTTTATTTAATTAAAATTCATATTTTCCCAAAGAAAATATACATCGTCTGGCTTTCAATTGAAAAACTCTTCTTAATTAAAAACTGAATTTTCAATAGCTTTGGCATTTGTTTCACCTTTAACCAATCGACCGGAAAACTCATGTATATCATGTTCAGGGCTTGTATTTAATTTATTCCCCAGGACTCTTTGGGTCCAAACGAGCCACTGAATGACTTGGCTCAGCCCCCTTCCGTTTCCGCCCACCTGGGGCCACCCCTTTTAGCCTGATTGTTCAGCTGGAACTCTCATCAGGAAAGTTCTTGAACAAATTTGCTGCAATTTGTATTTCGGTTTTAGTTGGCGCTGATGCGACCACAGATACAGATACAGATACATATCACACCTATACGCTGGCTGTAAATTTCACTAAATTTTATAAAGTCAACTTTTTGGCCAACGCACACTCCGAGCCAAAGAGTAGAGCAAAAAGGAAGCTCAGAGAGAGAGACACGAACGGACACTAAGTGCTCCTCGCACGTAGCATAAGTAAATGTGTTTATGTGCAGGCGGGGAGGGCTGGAGGGGCGGTGTGGTGGCCAGCCAAAAGGATGAACATTAGATACATTCATGGTTAGACTTCCGTACTTGGCCAGCACACACGCTCGGGGTGGAGCGGTGGCAGTGGCTGTGGCAGCGGTGGCAAGTGGCAAGTTAAGCACCCAACATTGACTGCCACAATAGACCACATTAAAGTTGGTTTGCCAGCCATGGGATCTCCATTGCCATCGTTTTGACGCCTTCGGAGATCTACTCTCCCGCTCTCTCTCTCTCTCTCTCTCTCCGAGTGGATTGTTTTCCTTTCTTCCTTTTGGCCACTTTTCGGATACCCTCTAACGGATATTGATATTTTTGGGGAAATGGCTTTTCGGGGTTAAATATTTGATTGACATTTCTGACAGGCCAAATGGAAGTCCGAAGTGGTATATGGGAAATGCTTAAGCAAGAAATACTAGAGAATTCTCAGATGCAGCCGAGTAAATGGAATCTCCTTAGACGATTATCTAGACTTTGTAGAGGCTTTAGTTCTCACAAAGAAATTTACAAATAATCTTTACTTATTTATCCTTTATAAATAGGAGTTTGAAGACGGTTTCCTTGAATGGGTTTTTATATATTAAAGGGAAAATACGAGTAAATATTTAAATATTAATTTAAATATATAATTAAGGGGAGAATAAATGCATAACTATGCTCATAGCTGGTTTCTATTTTTAGATGAAATATTTAAAATATTAAATTAATATGAAAATAATTTTTAAATAATATATCAAATGCAATTTTGAGAGGTTATATGTTATATTACGTATAAATTTGGAAGAAAGAGGGGATGCTGGTAGCTATGTATCTTCAGATCTTTGCAGCTATTCCCATCTCTCTATGAAATACACAATTTTTGGGCCATATTAGCGCGTGGAAGCGAAGCGAGTGAGCCTGGGGTTGGCTCACGGGCGTAGGAGTGCTATGGGTGCTTCCCCTTAGTATTTTATATACAAAGTTACCATATAAAGAAGATTATTGGGAGCAAGAACTGCCATCGAAATGCCACTAGCAGAATGCTGATTCCTAGCTGATTCTGATTCTTATAAAATGATCCTTTCCACACCCAAAAGATGGTACATTTCTTGTTCTCTTTTTGTATATTTTCCTCCTTCTCCTCTCCACGTTTAAACGCCCTTTCGATGGCCATATCTACCTCTTACGTTAGGGTATTAAAAGCATCTCCACTTCAATGAGTACACCATTTTCTTTCCGTTTGCTTTCCTTACTCTTGGATATTACTCTTCTCTGTCCCCCCCATGCCCCCCTCCCCTCTCTCTGGCTCTGTTCTCTGCTCCTCCAGACAGACACATGTGCGAGCAGAAGCCGGCGAAATAAGTAAAAACGAGCATTGTATGTTATATTTTTACTTTACACTATATATACGAGTATCTCTCTCCTTTTTTTCCGTACTCCAGCGCGTAAATTTTACAAATACGTTTGCAGGCAGGACGCAGGACGTCCCTGGCTGGAATTTCTCTCTATTTGCCGGAGTACGCGTATCCCTATCCATCCGTCTGGCTGGGAGACGGAGAGACAACCGGCTCCTGGGTTTGTTTTTTGTGTTGGCTTAATAAAAATACATTTTGCACGTGAAAGTGGAACTGCAGAAGGGGGTGGGGGAGGGGCAGCACATCCCACTTCAACCTGGCCCGTGCCGTAACCCGTGCTATCCCAGAGCCTGGGCTCCCGTTGAGCCGTGCAGCGTTTTAGTTGGGGCTCCCAAAAATAAACCGCAAGACCGCCCACACCCCACACAGTATATAGTAGTAGTAGTTGGCATATACACTTACCAGAAAATCCTTCCGGACACGTACAATTGTAGTAGGCCACACCGTCCACACAGGTCCCGCCGTTCTGGCAGGGCCCCGACCAGCATTCGTCCCAATTCGTTTGGCACTGGATCCCTGTGTAGCCATCAATGCAGTAGCACGAGTACGAGCTGTGTTGTTGTTATCGGAACACGTTAGTTTTTTACCCATTTTTTCCATTTTTTTTGCCCATGTTTTTGTGTTGTTTCGTAGGTGGAACGGTGTGTCAATGATGCATCAAACGTTGGAGGAAAAAACACCCACACAGCCGCACATAAAAGACATGGAAAAATATATAGAAAGGGAGAAAGAGAGAGTGAGAGAGTGAGAGAGTGAGCGAGAGGTAAAGAAAAAACTTGCTTTAGATAAAAATAGTTTCAGCAAATGGCACAATATGGGGAGTACACAGAACGGAACAGTACCTACGATATATAAGTACTCGTGTCCGTATGTACGCTTAACGGCACCCAACACGCCCGGACAATAACGGCAGTTTGTAGTAATTGAAGCGAAGGCACTGCCAGATGACCAGGCCAGAGATGGTAGCGTGAGGGAAGTCGGGAAGTACCAGGACAAGAGACTCAAGGAACCGGAGTTACAGATAGGTTTTTGAAGGAGAGAAGGTTTGGAGGAAACTATCGACTTTCAATATAATGAATTTATGCAGGTTAAGACTTAAGATGGACGCTTGAAGAGAGAGATGCACAAATGAACAGATTCAAATCTCTTGAGGAAAACGATCTCTTTGAAGTGAAATTATTCTTTCTAAATTCTTTATGAATCTTTACTCTCTATGAATCCCAAGTATTGATGCATTTCTTAAGATTTTACAGGCCTTTAAACAGAAAAGTGATGAACCCACGTGATCGCCACTGTATATCCCATGGATAAATGAGATCTCAGCACTCTAGAGGTCTAGGATCTTCCTATAATGCCATGTAGAACTCCACAAAAGTACTCGAAGTCGGCTAAGGATATACAATGATGGAACTATGCTAAATCATTGCAAATTCCAGCTATTCCCCAACACCATTTAACCTATAATAAAGTTTGAAAGGAAAGCCCATTCCATGATCAACTATCGGCTAACTCACGCTGCCATCTCAAACGAATAAGCATTGAACAAATTTCGGGAAGAAATACAATCGAAACTAAGAGCCATTGTTGAATGTCCTTCATGAAGGAAATGTTTTAGATGGATATTCTTTGTTTTTTTTTTCTATAAATATTGAACCCCCACTCCCACCCAATGCACATCCATATCCCATAGCCTTTTGAGTGCAATAAACTTTGAGAGTCAGCGCCACATTACACTTGAGTAGTGGAAATAAATATTTGCTAGACATTGGGGATTGTGTGTGTGTGTGGGTTTGGGGTTTTTCCTTCTATTTCATTGCCTAAACCACTGGCAAACCGAAACGAAATGGAAAACAGGAAAAAAATGTGTCAGGGGAACACAGACCAGAGCGAAACCAGGAGCACGAGGAGCAGCCCCAACAGCAGCTTAATTAAAGAAGTTTTCTTACCTGTGAGCCTCGGTAGAGGTACAGCAGGGAGGTACCCCACTGTTGTTGTCCTTTATAATGGATTACATTAGGATGCAGAAGGCAACCAGAAGGGCGGCTGCCAGTGCAGGCTGTGGGTGGGTCTGTGGGTCTGTTTTTGGGGCTAAGTATGGAGATAAGCACCCAGACACTTAATCGTACTCGTATGTTGTGCTGCAGAGCCCCCGAGGTACAGCCTGATTACCGCCTACGGCTCGACATTTTCACCCTGGAGGCCATTTGATTTGTTGCCTGGGCAGAAACAATTGGGGAAATGGCCTTCGACCTGTGCTTGGATCACTCCTGGCTTTTCGGCACCACTGGGAATCCTTTTGGGGGGTGGGGCAGGGGATAATGGTTTCTGTGACTGATTTTTAATCTGTAGAAAGCGTCCCTTTTTGGGCCAACTTTCGCATTAAAGAAACTTCTTTAATTAGTCTTTGCAACTTGTTAAAACCGCTGCCAATGGCTCGAGCAATTTGCTAAACAAATCCTGGCCTTCACTCGGCTTTTATTGGGACTTCTGGCAAGAGTTTTCCAGAGGCAGCTCATAAAACAGCTAAAGACAAGCTTTTCGAGCACATAAACCAAGATAAACCAATAAAATATCAATGTTCTCAGATACGGAATGGCACTCCACCTCCACCTCCACCTCCTCCTTCGCTTTCTAGTCCCACGGGTCCGTCTGGAAACTTCCAAGTTGGTCGAAAACTATTCAGTTAATCCGTTTAAATCTCATGGCATCATGTTAAATTTAATTGCAGCTATAAATTCCGCTTGCCAGCACATAAACTTTCCCATCCGCTGTCCCCCCCTCCCCTCCCCCCCCCCTCGCTTCTTTCGCATTTGACTTGCAGCAACATATCTTAACCGCTTTTCCTTCAGTGGGTGGCGGGATTAGCGGTCGCGAGGAGAGCATAGAAAAATAAAATGCCAGTTACTTAGTCGTATAAATGGCGTCAAGAAGAGCGATGGCAGTCCAGAGCGAGGAAGGGTCCAACAGATGGAGCACCGTACAGCTACATCTTCGACTCTCCATCTGCCACCGACTTGTTTGTGCAATTGGCCATGGGGCGGTGGTGGGCGGTGGCAAGGAGGGGCCAAGGTATGTGGCAGCTAAGCCTCAAAGTGCAGCAATTTGAAATGTTTCCCTGATTTGAATTTGAAGATTTGAGTGCTATTTTGAATAGATTTGCGGGGATTACCTTTGCTGAGGGATTTTCTGCCTGATAGGGGGGGAGGCGGGGTTGAAAAAAACTCGAGAAAATTGAACATGCAACGGGGGAGTCCTTCAGTTAAATTTGCACACAAATTGCGGCTTTTTGTGTGGGGGGTTCTCGTACTTTTATAGTTTTTTGAGGCATGGTTTTGTAGGGTAATACTTCTGGGATTTCTTGAGATATTCTTGGAACTTTGAGATCAATTTTCAGAGTGTTTTGAATACTCAAACTTTAAGGAAACGAATAATTATAGCAGGTATTATTTATGGAATATGTTTGAGCCTTGGAATATTTGGAAATAATGTCTGTATATTCCTCCTATAATAATGATTATTTTCGGCATAAATACTACTGCATTTTAGGAGGATTTTAGAATAAAATGTATTCAATATTTTATTATTTCTTTTATATTTAATACTGATTGAATTTTATGAATATTTAATACCCCCCATACCCCCACAAAACCACTCGAAATCTCTTCCTCTCTATCCCCGTCTTCATTTCCTTTTTGCCCAACTAAAAAAGAAGAAAATCCAATAATGAAAACTTGGCCAATCCCTTGGCTTATGTATTTCTTGGCAGTAAATTTACCGCATTAAGAATGCACTTTGGCTCAGGGCAGGCCAGTTAATAATTTCTCCAGTTCCGTGCAATTGAAACCCACTCAACACACTCGGCTGTGCCCCATGCCCCATGCCCCATGCCCCATGCCCCTCCCCCAGCATGCCACACACTCGGAGTGGCCGCAACTTAACCCCATTTAAACGGGCATGCATTAAAAAACTCTAAGGGATGAGGAGCAGGGTGGAGGGGGGAGTGTGTAGGCGATGGGGAATATCTGCGGGAAATTCATTTCCCTGCAAAGTGGCGGCATCAACATGTTGGGCCGGCCATCGAGGGATGGCCATATGGAAAAAAGGTATGGATTCCCATGGAATGGGAATTTTAAACTGGAAACACTCCTGGTTCCTGGATGCTCAAGTGGCGCAAGTTTATTGCCACTCGAAATGTGTTGGACGGGGTTTATTGGTCCTGGCTGTCCCGGCGATAATAAGCACAAAATGTGCACCAAGGCTCTGGCCCCCCTCCCTCCCGAGATGACCACCTGGTCGAGAGGGATGGAAGCGTGACCCAGGCTGATCTATCGCCAGGGTTCCACTCGGAATTATGCTAATGAGAAGCGTATCGATGGCAAGGACATGCAGATTATTCCATTGGGCACTAGCGGTATCCTTCGAAGTATTTAAATGAGTTTAAAACATTTTTCTATATTAGTTTAAGGTAAATTTCTTTGAAATTGTCTCTTTTCATCATCTTCTAAAGTTTGTGGTGATGCGAACACAGAAAATGTATTTCTTCCTGCCTTGAAGATTGGGTCTTCAATAGTCAGAAGTTTTATGACTCCCAAAAAGATGCCTCTACCTACTACAGGTTTGTTGGGGGACAAAGGCCTCGATTGGTTTATGAAATGTGTCCATATTCTAAGAAAACTTTCTTTCTATAGTTCTCCACTGCTTCAACGAATACCGGAAGGCCCTTTGATGTCCAATATAAAGAAAAAACAATCTTCTGAAGAGATCTCTTCGATTTCCAAGATTTACTTGGATTACTGGCTATTTTCTAAGGTAGATTTCCTTGTTTTCCCTCCAGCCGGAAGTCACGACTCTTGCCTTAAGATTTCCCATCTCTAACCCTCCGAAGGATGGCTTTGCCTTCAAAGTTCAGGGAGAACTCACCTGTTCAGGCCGTCGATGCATACGCCAAACACACAGGGATTGCTGAGGCAGGCAAATCCGGCCTGGCCGCCACCCACCAGGAGGGCCAGGCATAAGCCGAGCAGCAGCAGCAGTCTGGAGTGGAAGCTGCCGCCGCCGCTGCCGCACTTTGCTAATATCCTTAATGTCCAGGCAGAGTTTAATCTTGAAGTTGGTGCTGTTTCCGGGCAGCAGGATACTGCCGTTTGCGATGGAGTATTTGGAGTGGGTTTTATCGTTGGTTTTTCTATTGTTGCTGTGGCTGTGGCTGTTGTTGCCGTTGTTGCTGTTGTTGCTGTTGCTGTGGTTCTTGTCGTTGGCATCTTTTGCAGGTGGTTTCGTTGCATATCCGTTGCTGTTGATGGTGGCTTCTGTGTGGTGGCAGTCAGGCCCGTGGTGGTGCAACCGTTGGCTGTCAGCGGTGTGGCATCCTCTCTCGCCTGCTCCCCCTCCTCCCCCACGTCTGGCCGTTGCAGCTGCATCTGAAGGGGACGTCTGCGACCGATTTCGCGTCTCATTTGAGGCGATTCCTCCATTGTCTGTTTATCAATCTGAATCACGTTGATCATACGCCCAGTGGGTCCTGAAAAGTGCTTTTGATTGATGCTGTTGCTGCTCCTTGAGCTGCCTTCCAGTCGAATGTCTTTGTCCTTGTCCTTGTTGCTGCTCGTCTATCCGCTTAAGTGCTTTATTAGTTCTCATTGTTTGTCCCCAACAATTGTTTGTGTTCCGTTGGACATCCCCACATCCACATCCACATCGACGTCGACGTCGACGTCCAGTTCCACCTCTCCCTGGTTATCCTAGTGCGGCGCTCCTTGAATGCAATCTGCGTCGCCTTCGCATCCTCAGCATTCTTGTTTATGATTTTTTTCCCCTCTTTCCTTCCTATCTTTTTCCTTGTTATTTTATCTATTCCTTCTCGTTGCTGCTCTTCTGCTGCTTCACATTTTTGCAGCCACTTCAATTTGCAGTCTGGAAGAAAAAGCAAAGAGAAAACTTCATGAATATTCAGGAAATTATTTGCTCAACAATTTGGTTAGATATTGTGCATCCTGATTAAGATTTTAACTGCGGCAATTAAATGTTTTAATGGGTTTGTTGCCACATCATTTTTCAACCAGAAAGGCTGGCAGACGGTTTTTAAGGGTGTTTTTTATATACATAACTTTATTTTGCAACGTTTGGAGGGATTATCTTTGAGGCTAGAAAGGAATTCACACAAAAACTGCCTTTTCGATTGGATCGAAAGCGATCGGACTTTATTTAGACTTGGTTAAATGTTTATAAACCCAAAAAATTGAAATTTCTATGGTTTTATTGGTGTATCGAAGGATTTTAATATGGTTTCTATTTGATATAGTCTTCAGATCGAAAGCGAATTATATTAGGGAAAGGGAAGGGACTTCTTTTAGGGAAAATACTAGCCGGGCAAGCCTCTGCAAAGTCGCTTTATTCTTGCGCCAGCCGCCGACTCACTTGCTCCGCTTGTTAACGCCGATATGAGCCAAGTAGCGAGAGTAAATTAATATGGAGTTTGTTAAGCTAATGAGCTTTTTCTCTGATTTACACATGTAAGGTTCAATACATATGTATGTACATTTATTGGTAAGCGAATGTACATATGTTGTTTGTATGATCGGCAATTGCAATTGCAAGAGCTGCCGAACTGCCCGTGCCCGTGAAATTTCGGGTCTTCTTTGACGCTCAGCCCGACTGAGAGCGCTTTGACGACATGTTGTCGCTCAGCACTGCTGAGAGCGCTTTGACGTCATGTTGACGCTCAGCACTGCTGAGAGCGCTTTGACGTCATGTTGGATGAGAGAGAGAGAGAAGAACGAATTTTGCCGGCGACAGTGGCTGGCAGAAGCAGAGCGGCAGAGCAGAGCAGCGCGGCAGAGCAGAGCGGCTCGGGGCTGCTGCTAAGCCGAGCACGAACGCAAGCTTAAGAGATAGAGCGCGAGAGAACAACTCGATGCCAAAGCGTAGAAACGAAACGAAACGGAGAAGACTGCATAGAAAGACGAAAGCACAGCCGCTATCTACCGTCTACCGTGGGCAGTGAAAATAGCAAACAATTAAAGGGATTTACTTTGCGCTGCGCCACTCGTAATTCAGTTTGTCAAATGTTTGCCTACAAAGATAATTTTAGACCTTTCATCAGCATACAGCATACCGCCAAAATCGCTCTCTGCCAAAATGTAGCTACAGTAATCGCTCGAAAAGAGTTATAGCTCGGGTATCACTTGAATAAACAATGCCCTTAAACTCCCGAAATCTCTGTCCAGTTGAAAATCGTTTTGTCCTGTCCCCACAGAAATCTGAATATGCTCAACTAATCCATAATGCCGCCATGTGGCTGGCTTTCCATTTCATTTCGTTTCGTTTCGTTTCGTTTCATTCTGTTGGATGGCCCCCAGATGTTCGCCCGTCACACATGTGTCAAAATAAACCCCACAACTTGTACACACATCGCACACACGTCGTACATGTGTTTGGAGTAGGGGGGTTTGGAGGGGTTGGGGTTTGGGGGTTGGGGTTTTTTGGGCACTTGCCTGTTTAGCTATTAAAACGCTGGACAGAGAGGGATTTGGAGTAGAGAAATCCCAGTCACATGTGCAGTAAGCTGCAGGAAAGTTAACAACAATTTTTTGAACTCTTTTTTTCTATCCCCCTTTCCCCCCCACCCCCCTCTCTTCTTTTTCGTTGGGATTGTGACTAGAGAATAAATATATATGTATATATATATTTTTTATGGTAGCCGCTGAAAATGCAGAGACAGCTCTCGTGACAAGTTCAAAATTGAAACCAGCTACGGACTGTGCACGTCAATTAAGGACGAAGCACCCAAACGCCAGGCACCAGGCACCAGCGGACATGTGCCATGGCAACGGAGAGCAAAAAAAAAAAAAAACCCGGAGAGCGATGGGGCCAGGATCAGGACTAGCAGCCGGACAACGCCCCATAACTTGACTGCATCATCAACATAAATCCGACTTAACTCCGGGCAATGGTCAGCAGTTGCTGGCAATACGAATGCCGGAGTGGCAGTATTGTTCGAGAACGTCAGTCATAACGTTCTCGGATTATATCTTGGTGGAAGGAAGGCCTTCTCTGTTCCATCTTCAAGTGGAAATTAGTGTCTCGTTCTTCGCAACTGAAAGATGTTGCAACATTGACTGACTCGGCACTAAACTAAAACACATACGAGTAATCATCGTATTCGTATTCGTATATAACTAGGCCAGGACACACAAACAGTAGGGGCAATAGATCCTGATGATGCTGATGAGCCTCTCGTTGTCCCATCAGCAACTGCATTGTCAAGGGGAACAAACAAAGAGCAACAGCAATATCTGATATGGCCCTGGCAGCACAAGGGAGGAGATACCTGTTTGAGAGGCATCATCACATGGACGACAGGAGACGGCCTCCGAGAACGAATGAATTTAGCCTGTAAACACAGCGACACAGCACGAACGGAAAGGCTAGCTCTCAGAGCTGGCCAAGAGCCAAGTGGAGCAGCCAACAGCCCGGGGGTGGGGGGGGAGCATCAAGAGGCCATCTCGAATTGCCCGGAGATGCCTGAAAGTTGTTCAAGTTACAGAGAGAGGACATTGTCGAGTGTTTGGTTCTCCTCCCACGATGATGACGATGATGGTGTTGAGTGGCGCCTCGCCACCGCCGGCGGCACCGCCGTTGAGGGACGGCCATTCCACGCTGAACACCAACAAAATGTTGTCCACCTTCGTGCTAGAACCAATTGGGAATTACAATGCAATGCCAGTGAGAAATTGGCCAAGAACAACGATTGGTGTTGCACATTTCGCTCCATTTTCCTCACTGTCTCGTCCGCAATGCTGGAATGCACCTGCAGCACACATTTTTCGGTGGACAAAATTTTAACTATCGCATAAAACCGAAACGTTTTCATGCCCCCCCCCCCCCCCCCCCCCCCACAGCCCCAAGGAAACCAAACCAAAGCCAAGAGAAGAGAGCCGGCGACATTCCGGATTGTAGATGTTTCTGTTTTTATTGTTCCGGCTGTACCCGGTGTTTCTCTTTGGTTTTTATGGCATTTGCAGAAACTGCAACTTTGTGGACCTCCAATGGGGGGGATAAGGTGGCAAGGAGCAGCCCCGGGGATTTGTCATTAACGTGAGCCATTTGCAGACTCTCTGTCGCCATAATGTTGCAGATTTTCAAACTGAAATGAAAGACGTTGTTGCTGCTGCTGCTGGATGTCCTCCTTCATTACCATTCTCTTGTAGCCGTAGCCGTCAAGGGTTTGATGACATTAATGAATGGGCCCTTGTTAGGCAATGTGTAATCTGGTGGGGTAATTACACGCAGGAGAGACTCGAGAAAGGACTTTCCTGTAGATACACAGAAAGTTGCCAAGATAAATGGCCAAATAATGATTGTGATGGATGGTTGTGCGAGGAGACATCGAAAAGAGGTGATTTGCAGGGGCTGGTAATCGAAAAATTGAACATCAAAGAGGGCAGGAAGGTAGGAACTTCTTTGGTAATTGATTTCCAGGTATTTATCTGTGCGTTCCATCTATGGAAAGGGAAGTACTTTGCTGTCAAGGGGTTGTAAATGAGTATTATGTTGGGAAGGGTAAATGTTTGTGGGAGATTGGGGTATAATGTTACCATTTTGTTAGGGAATAAGCGAAAAGTACTCAATAAATATGATCTGGAACGATAGCTGCTCTTATATACTTTTGCTTAGACTCAATGTTGCTAAGAGCGGAAGCAAGAGCGCGCCTGAGTTGAGCAAGGCTCTGTCGTTGTTGTTGTTGTCGAAAGGAGGCTTAAGCAGGAAAGAGGAGTGAGAAAGAGAAGATCACTTGAGAAGAGATAGATGCTTCTATATACATAGACTTGCTTAGATTCAATGTTGCTGAGAGCGGAAGCGAGAGCGCGCCTCAGTTGAGCATGGCGCTGGGGTTGTTGTTGTCGAAAGGAGGCTTAAGCAGGAAAGATGAGTGCAAAAGAGCAGATCACTTGAGAAGAGATAGATGCTTCTATATACATAGTCTAGCTTAGATTCAATGTTGCTGAGAGCATAGTTGAGAGCGAGAGTGCGCCCTCAGTTTAGCATGGCGCTGGGGTTGTTGTTGTTGTCGAAAGGAGGAGATAAGAAGCTACGAGGAGTGCGAAAGAGCAAATCACTTGAGAAGAGAGGAATACAGCCAGAAAGAGATAGAACGAAACGCTTCAAGGGCTCTTGGTTTTTTCCATGGCTGACGAAATCCAACAACACAATGTTTCACTCAATATTTGCCCTGCTCCTAGCCAAATTCCTACACATTTGATGGATTTTCGTGTTTCCCTAGCACTTTTCTAGAGTATATTTGTTCAACTAAATTTACTACTTCTTCGTCTTATGTTTGTTTTTGTTTATTTGTAATTTTTTAAGCCAGAGAAATTTGCTTGCATAAATTGTAATTAAACTGTCAAGATTTGTGCTTGTCGGTTTGTTGTATTTAAAGCGAATTTATGCAAAGCGACGGCAAGTAAACAAATGCCTCTCGACTCTCGACTGCAGCAAAAAAAAAAAAGTTCACTCGAAATATGCTGAGACAACAAAAACTGAGGGAGGGGGGTGCGAAAGGAATTTGGAAAAAGCTTTTCCTCTCTCTCCTTCGGGCAGTCTCTCCCTTTCATATTGTTAATTAATTCTGACAAATATTGTGCAAATATTTGGAAAAACTCAAAAGCCAACAGCAGACAAGTGCCAGAATCTTAGAGAGCTTTTCCGGCTGGCATTTTCGCTTTGTTTTGGTGGAAATTTCAAGGGGATTTCAGGAAGGTAGGTATTCGAAAAGTCGGTTGAAAGATTACTCGAATTAGCCTTGTTTAGTAAATACTTAATGGCTTAAACTAAGTTAAAATCTACTACAATGAAGGAATGCTCTTCTTCGATGGCCTTTAATATTTCAGAAAAAAATTCAAAATATTTTTTTT